CCTGGTTCCCGAGGCCCCGCCGCCCCGCGGGCCGGCCCTTTGCGACGGCCACGGTGGTGACCGTGTGTCCCTCACTCCTGGGGCCCCGGAGGGATCCAGGCATTTTCGACATCAGTTTTGCTATTTCTGCTTCACACCGCGGCTTTTGACTGAGATCAAGACAAAACTTAGCGGTACAACTTATGAAAGGAAGAAGTTGTCAGTTGGGACATTTTAGCTCAGAATTCGTTGCGGTGGCGTCTCCGTCTGCGGGGGGGGGCGGGGGGGAAACACTAGGACGCAGTCCTTGGGCCAACACTGCCACCTACTGGTCAATTTGAAGAATTTCCATAACCCTCGATTTCGTAGAGATTTCAAGCAAGTATGTACTGAGGTGACCGCTTGTTTTTGCTTTCCTATGAAGCTACAAGACTCGCTACGAGGAAGACATTTATTCTGTACACATTGTGTAGTTTCCTACCCTATTTGTTTTGCTTTGGGAATTGAGCATGCTAGGCAAGCGCCGTACCACTGAGCTACACCCCTGTCCTAGCACTTGTTAGTCTTTTACATTTAGATAATGAGCAAAATGTTTCCAATCAGAGTGGACCTGTGAGGAAGGAGGTGCATATTTATGCTGCTGTTTATACTTGGGGAGATCTGGTATCTGTGGCTCGATGGTCTCAATATAGTGCTCAATTGTACTACAAGCTGTTACTCCTAAGGCTGGCCCATTAGCATCCATATCAGGTCAGTGATAAATATCTGGATTAATATCTGGTGCAGAGGGAGCAGAAAGGACTGTAAGCTTGGACTGTACCATACACTGCTCCTGTATAGAACACCCAGCCCTCACCCCTCACTGGAGTTTCTGATGGACCTCAGGAGATCAAAACAAGCCAGGCTGTGGTGGGGTGCAGCTCCTGGGAAGCTCACTCTGCTAGGAAATAGAAGCGGTTGCTGAAAGGGACCTGCATTTGTTATGAGACTGTGTTGACTGTTGCAGAGAAGAAACAAGATGTGTAATTTTCACAGTTAGAATTAACTTAGGAGAGCTGAAATTAACTGAACCTCAGAAATCTGAACCTTGAGGTCATCAGTGGCTTTGGGGCTGTGAGAGAGTCTCCTGTGGTCTTTAATCACACCAGGGTGGGGTGACATTCAATATTCAGTGATCCTGCAGCCGGACGCCTTGTGCTGCTGGGGGTGGGAAGCTGTTGCTCTGGCTTTGTGGAAATGCCAGCTCTTGTGAAAGTGGGGCTGCTGCAGTGCATGCTCTGTTTGTTCTCTGGCTTAGCAAATTGTCTCTGCTAATGGAGTCGCTTCTGTGTGCAGGGACAAGATGGCACACTTAAGAGAAAGGTAGTGCTGCAGTCAGATTTGTTACTGTCTGTGGGGCTGTGTCTATCAGGCCGTCTTCACAGGGTCTTCACATGGTCTCTGGACTGGAGGTAGCAAGGGCAGGGCCGTGAACTGTTGGCCTAAGATAGGTGAGTTCTTATCTACCTGCCTCCAGGCCGGAGACACATCCCCAGTTGTCCTCATAGCCTCGGGCTTCATTATCTTAGTAAGGAGAGGTGGGAGTAGCACCTCAGAAGTGGCTGTCCTCCAGCACCTCTTAGGAGTCTGGGGAAGAGATCAATATGAAAACCAAAGCACATTCAATTAAGCTGTATAAATCAATCCTTTCATAATGCAGCAGAGCGAGCAAGCACGTCAGGTATTCGGTCTCAATTTACGGAAGATCCCAAGGTTCAGACAGACAAACCGAGTGTCAGAGAGGGCCAACAGGGAGTCCAGCTGATTTGCATTGTGTCTCTGAAAGAAGGAGTGAGAAGGACAAGAGGATGAGATTTGGAAAACCAAATATCTGGACGAAACCCATTCTTCCTACAAAGTGATTTGTCTTTGCCTCAGCCTTTGTAACCTCAGTGACTTCTATTTGCACATCTCACCTTGGGATGAGCTCCAGAAAGGCGTAGCCCCTTAAGGATGAGCATCTGCTCCCTTCTCCCAGGATGGAGAAGTGCCGGGAATAGCAAGACCTTCCCAGAAAGTCCCACTCCACGCGATGGTAAGGGCAGCCTCCATCTCTGCCCTCATTCCCTGTTACCTCCCTGTGGGGCAGACACTGCAGTTGTTCACGAGTAAGTTGTCTGGGTTGCAGATGAGTAATGATGCGAACTTCCACAAATATGCCTGGATTTCAAGCCAGGCCAGCTCTCTTATCAGAAACAGGGGTTGAAATTTTAAGCAAACCCATGCTAATGCTCAGAAATCGCATCATCATCGCTTGCTCAAGGGCCTGTCTTCCTTGCTTACTTTGTATGTCATTAAATAATCCTCCAGGGGCGTTGGGTCCATGGGTCTGAATGTGCAGAAGGAAACTGGTGGGGCCTGGCCAGGGCAGAGCACTGCTCAGAACACAGGGAACTGAGAGATACATCACCGGAGGCCTCACTAAAGAAAGACAGGATATAAATGTGATAAAATTCAAGACAGCAAGCTGGCGCTGGAAGCCGCTTTGAAGTCCGCTGAGTGGATTATCAGTGGGAGGCTGATATTTGTATGTACAAACACACGGGCTGTTACTGCTAATTGTGGTAAATCAGGCAGTCAGCCTGGCTCTGGGGCCCCCTGCGCCTGCTGCTGCCCGGCATCTGCCAAGACCCTCGAAGCCATCAGACAGCCTTCACTGATTTGCATTTGGGTTCGCAGCCCTGTAATTATGTTTCTCCCACTGTAGGGAGTAGAGAAGGAGCAGGAGGTGACTCCAGTTTGCGTTAGGGGTGCAGCAGGATGGGACAGGGCTGAAACACTGATCTTCTTCTCTTGAGAGACTGTGGCAGAGGGGAAGGAGTATAGCTTTTGCATCTCACAGACTGTGTTAGAATCCTGGCTCTGCTGATAGCTGTGAGTCTGGGTCATTTGCTAAACCTCTCTGGGCCTCAACTGCTACTTCTTAAAAACAACGCTGTCACAGGATTATTCTTAAAAAAAACATGGCCTACACATAAAACTTTGGCTTAATCAATGACAGTCTACTGTTTTGTTCTATCTTTCCCTGCCCCCTTGCCCAGAATTCCATCTCTCACTTTCCTTTCTTTCTCCTCCATTTTCTTGATAGAAGTCAACAAAGCAGATATCTCATCTCTGCACTGTAAAACAATGTAAAACAAAAATACTTGATCAGGCATCACCAAAACCTACGCTGAGGTTCTTAGCTACTGGCTCTTGTTACCAAAACTAGTAAATGGATAAAGAAAGAGTGGCTAGGGCCAAACAAGGCCCAGATTGACCCCTGCCACTTAAAGGCAGTTTACGGAGGACCTGCACTCACATCTGGCTGCTCGCTGGTATGACTGGGTGCAGAGGCTGTGCCTCCCTGGCCCAGGTGCTGTGGCTCTCTGTGGTCTTGTTTCCCGACTCATGCCACGTGGCCCAGCTGCACATTCAGCAGGTCACAGAGACCCACGCCAGGTCCTGCGTTTCCCCTGTGTGTCACAGAGGTCATCTCTGGGCACCACTGTTACTGGGAATTTCAGAACCTCTAGATCAGAATGACACTAGAAAATATTTGCCCTGGTCCAAATAACTTTTCCTAAAACTGTAGAGGGAGTGATATCTGGGTGCACTGAATACCCATGACAGTCCCCGAGGAGTGAAAAACACTGGTTTTGAGAGTACACAATGTTTATGTCTTTGTGTTTTGTGTTCTTAATTTAAGTGGTCTAAAGGAACCGTTTTCCTGAATTCCAAGACCAGAATCTGGGACTTTCCGGAATCCAAAGGCTGCAGGCCTTCAAACAGTGTCTCGGCAGCAGGCCTGTCCTGGCCCTGTGGCCCCATCAGGCCAGCTGGTCCTTTCGTCTTGAATGTCTCACCGTAGTAACTGTGAAAGATAGACTGGGACTTTTTTAAAACAAAAATGATGTCATTGACATTTTCTGTTGTACAAGCATGAAGAAAATTAGGTTCAAGGGTTGTTTTCTGTTGGCCAATGCTGTTTCCGTCCTTTGACTTTCACAGATTTCCAGAGCTATGGGGACACCCCACCCGGCCTTCTTGGTCCTTGGCTGTCTTGTCACAGGTATGTGTTCCTGGTCCCTCTGCTTATTGTCCCAAGGACCCCGTGCTTTATGGGTGTATTGGCTGTGCTCTCCTGTGACAGGTTGAGGACATATATAATCCAATTTAACATGTTAATTAGAATAACTCAACCTCCACACCCCTCTCCATGGGCCTCCAGGAGGCATAGACAGATAAATTCACATATGTTCAAAGGAAACAGAGTAGAAAACTTGCCCAGGAGTGCTCACTAGCCAAATCATGCCTGCTTTAATGAAAGAGGCTTACTTTGCTTGAAAATCCCACTTTTTATTATTCTCCTGGAATGAAATCAGTAGTGGAGTATTTAGGTGCTTGGGGGACCCTCTTACCTCCTTTTCATGAGGAGGCTGCTGTGGGGGTTGTTTATCAGACTTTCTTAGATATCATCCAGATATTTAGGTACTGAAACCAGTGCATCTCTTGTCTGAGGAGTTGACTCAGTGTCTTGGTCTCATCCTTATGGGTTTGGCAGAATTAATTAAGCAAGATCAGAAACTCAGTACTGTAGTTCTAAACTCCACTGAGTAGAGCTGGGCACGGTGATGCACACCTGGAATTGCAGGAGAATCATTGCAAAATCAAGCCCATCCTGGGCTACATAGTGAGTTCAAAGCCAGTCTCCACTACATAGCGAGACCTTGTCTCAAAAAACAGAACAAAACAAAACAAAACCTCCACTGAGCACACCCCATCCAGGGTGACAGGTGGCCTAGATGCAGACAGCCACTGTCCTAACAACCTGCAGGAGCAGGTGGTCACATACTGAAGTTGGGTGGGATTCCCACACTAGGTTTCAAGGGAGATCTAAGACAACGAATTCATCCTTAAGTCATAACATCGCTTCTGTCTGTCTTATAGCCAAGGGATGATGCTTCACTGAAAATGATGAACTGAAATATTTTTACATCTTGGACTTTTTAATTTGAGGATTAAAGTCCACATCATCCTGCCTGGGTTCTGGAAGTCATTAGAGACACAGCCTCCCAGGGACAGGGAGAAAGGGAGGCGCTGAGCCGGAGCACAGACCTGCTCTGTGCTTTGCCCATCCACCTCCTGGCCGAGTCCTTGCACCTCTCTTTACGTCGGGGAAACTTCTTCAGGGAATGTGCGTGATAAAGAGCCCATGTGTGCTCGCGTCCAGGACGTCTTGGGGTATTTTATGGTTACACATAAGAGTCTGAAATATGGAATTGGATCAGACGCCCTCTGTCCATTTGAGTGGCTGGAAGGGCGAGTGGAGGGGGCTCGGAGGGGCTATCGAGGCCTTTGGAACACTTACTGCTCTTAGCAGATGCAGCCGCTGCTATAACGGAGGCCTTTTCATGGGCATCCAGACCAACGGATTTGGGGTAGAAACGGTCATTGTTCACGGACGCCGCCACTGTGGCTTCTCTCAGTTCTCCGGGGAGACGTCCGCTCTGGCTGCATCCTATTCAGAGTGTGCTTCCTTTGACAGAGCTGAGCCTAATCCTCTGCCAGCTTCCATTGCCCTCCATCCTTCCAAATGAAGATGAAAAGATCGTGCAGCTGAATTCGTCCTTTTCTCTGCGGTGCTTGGGGGAGAGTGAAGTGAACTGGAAGTACCCCATGACTCCGGGAGACGTCCCCGACGTGGAGATCAGAAACGAGGAAAACAACAGTGGCCTTTTTGTGGCGGTGCTGGAAGTGGCCAACGCCTCAGCGGCCCACACCGGCTGGTACACTTGCTACTACAACCACACGCAGACCGAGGAGGGCGAGGTCGAGGGACGGCACCTCTACGTCTACGTGCCGGGTGAGTCAGATGGGTGCCCTGGGTCATGCTGCTTCTCTTCCTGTCTCTCCTGCTAATTGTATTAAGGTATTTTTTAAAATGTAAAGTTCAATGTTTATTGGATAAAATTGAAATGTGGACTGGACAACACACAATTTCTCTCTCTCTCTTTCTTCCCTCCCTCCCCCCCCCTCTTTCTTCCTTCCTTCCTTCCTTCCTTTCTTGTCCTGGGATCGAACTCAGGACCTTGTACATGCAAGGCAGGTGCAGTGCCACTGAGCTAAATCCCCAGACCAGTTTTTTAAAATTAATTTTATTGGCACATTTAAGGTATACAATATAATGACATTGATCATTGGAAAGTTGCACCTTTACATAATCCATCTTGGTTCTTATTTTTCCCCATTCCCCTCCCCTCCCTTCAACCCCTCTACCCTTCCCTTCTATAAGACTTTGTTTCCTTTTTTTTCAGTGTCTCGCTATGTAGTTCAGACTGGCCTTGAACTCAAGGTGATCTTCCTTAGCCCACCTCATTCTGGGTTTAAAGGCGAGGAGCATCACACCTGGCTTGCTTCTGTTTTTGAGATAGACCCATGCTATGTTCCATAGTGTGGCCTCAAACTCTTAGGCTCAAGGGATCCTTCTGCCTCAGCCTCCCAGGTAGCTGGGATTATAGGCACGTGCCACTGTCCTGTGCAGAACACGTGAAATTAAAGTTCATCAGTCATGATTAAGAAATTCATTGTTGATATTTTAAAGCTGCATTGAGTTTTTAAAGTCACCTTTGTTATGGCATGTCCTTTATTTGTGTGGTACAAAATATCTGAACCGTACTCCGTTCTATTCATTTTGCTCAAGCTCAATGAATATTTACAGTGTGTTCAACAAATATTTACTGTGCCCATTGCTGGAGGCAGAAGAGTGGCTTGGCGTTACTTGTAGTTCATTATAACCCAAACTTTCAGGTTACGTTCAAATGTGCGTGCTTGACAAATCGCAAGGGATTTCTTTTCATCTTTTTAATCAAAATGTAAGGGGAAACTCACTAAAGTTTCTCTGTGCCATCTGATATACCATTTTTAAGATTTCTGTGCTACTTTTCAATAATACCACCTATAAGCATAAGGCATTTCTAACAGCATTTTGTGGTATAAAAAATATGACTATTGTTTTCCATTTTTGTTCTTTGTTGTTTAATTTTGGATTTAGATTCCTGGCTAGCATTTTTATTTATCATCAGCATTTCTTGTTAGGGGCAGGCAGTTGGGTATAATTCAGAGTTCAAAGTCACCTTCAGGTAAAACGCACAGTTGATGAGAATATCACTGGGCCATGGGTGTGGGTGTAGCCCAGAGATAGAGAGCTTGTTGCTTGTGCAAAGCTCTGAGTTCCACACATATAAATAAATAAAAGAAAACAAATAATGCCAAAGGGTAAATTTTCTTCATACATGTGTAAAAATGAAATTAAAGCCTAATAGATTCTTCTTTCTTACTTAAACCGCAGACCCTGAAGTGGCCTTTCTGCCTCTAGAAATGACAGATTACATAGTCCTCACTGACACCGATGACTCTGCCATCATACCCTGTCGTACAACAGATCCCAAAACTCCCGTAACCTTACACAACAGCCAGGGGCTGGTGCCAGCCTCCTACGACAGCAAACAGGGTTTCAATGGCACCTTCAACATGGGGCCCTACTTCTGCGAGGCCACCGTCCGAGGAAAGACGTTCCAGACGATGCTGTTTAATATTGTTACTTTGAAAGGTACTTGTAACCTCTCTCTCCTTCTTTAAATAAAAATAGCAAACTCATCAGACTCAGGTAGGGTTTTTAATTTAATCCTAGTCTCTCGTGATGGAAGTTGGAATTCAGGTTTGGGGGTTGAGGGCCCCACCTTTTCCATACAATGCAACTAACTCCTGTGGCTAAAATAATACAAAGCTTAGACTCACTAAAGGCTAAAGCTTGCTTACACATGTAAGTTTCGTGTTTCATTGGTTGACTTCAAAATACGGTAAGGAATTTTTCTTACATAAGCCTCTTACTATTTGATTCACATTCTTGACTACAGAGACCCTAGCAGCAAACACACACCTCAGGGAGCTGGATGCCTACATTAATTTTAGTACCTTAAGAACTAGGGGATTTCAGTTTTGAGGATGTTATGGCAGGAGTAACGAATGGAACTTTAAGAGATTCAGGAGTTGGAAAAAAAAAAAAAGAGATTCAGAAGTTGGGTAAAGAAACAAACTTTATTGCTAGTGGCAAGGCCAGACACTTGGAAACCAGTCATTGTGGTCTGACCCTGAGCTCAGAGCTGAACAAACTTTTATACTGGTACAAGTGAAGAGGGGATTATCTGGCAAAGCAGAAGCGTTGCACTGGGGCTTTTCATTTTACAGGTATAGCTTTTGATAAGCAGCTGCTGCAAAGTCCTAAGATATCTTCTTGTTACAGGGAGAGTGCTGCAGTTTGGAAAGTCCGCATCATCTTAAACACAGCATGTCTTAACATTTCATGAGAATATTGTGTCTTAGCTTTTGAATTACAGTTGTAGCTTTACGCATTACATTTTTCTGTAACAGGAAAGGCTGTATGTAGTTCTGGATTGTTGCTCGCAACCCTTTGATACGATGTTTAGCATGGGTGGGGAAGTAGGACATGCTGCGGGTCTGGGTGGGCAGAGCTTTAAGGAGCACTTGTGAACCTGTGGCAGCAGCAAGAGTTGCCCTTTGACTTTCTGTGAGGGCTCACTCTTTGCCAAACACTGTGCTGGGTTCGGGAAGGCACTGGGACTAACCGAGTGACAAAAGGATGGCAAAGAAAACCGAAGGGATGGGAGCCAGGTGACTACATGAATAAATACATAAGTGAAGGTGATTGCTAATGAAAGAGTGCAGCCGCCATCTACCTGTGTTCTCAGGAACGTGCTGTTCTGCTGGAATTTGTTTTTATTTATCTGTGTTTCTGTACCACAACTACATGCCAAATTATGTATAACAACTCGAGATCAAGGCCTCTCTGATTTTCCAAAGTTTATCTTTATCAAAGTGGTTTGCAAATACTTCTCGGGATTATTTGCTTGCTTTTTGAGACAAAGTCTCGCTGTGTAGCTGAGCTGGCTTGAATTTGGGAACCTCCGGGTCTCAGATTATGCTGATTTATGCAGATTATGCTGGGACCATAGGAGTATGCACCACACCTGGGCTTCAGTGCCCCGCTGCCCCTCCTAACCTGAGATCAACTCTGGTCCTTGTGTTTGCAAGGCAGGTGCAGAACCACTGAGCTAAATCCCCAGCCCTCTCAGGGTTTTCTTAAACCCAAATCTTTTAAGATCTTAACCATACTATGGATATTTAAGTCCTTGCACATATATTTTTTTAAATAGCTGCACCACAGCTGGATCTAGAAATGGAAGCTTTGAAGACTGTGTACAAGTCCGGGGAAACGATTGAGGTCACCTGTGCCGTCTTTAACAATGAAGTGGTTGACCTTCAGTGGACTTACCCGGGAGTAGTGGTAGGTACCCTCAAGTCATGGGTGTTGTGTGCCCAAAAGACCTGTGTTCTGTCAGTGACAAGGTACATCCCTGAGATTCTCCAGACCTCAGCCTCCCATCTGTACCATTTTTCATTTGTAGTAGGTAGGAATTTTTTTTTCCTAAATGAAAACACATGCCGTTTGGGCCAGAAAAAATGTAATCAAAATGCTGCTTGCCTCCCTCCCTCTTACCCTCCCTTTTTCCTTCCTTTTCTCTCTTCCTTCTCCTTCTCTCTCCTCTCTCTCTCTTTTTCAGACAGGGTCTCACTATGTAGCCCAGGCTGGTCTTGAACTCACAGTATCCTCCTGCCTCAGCCTCAGAACTGCTGGGATCACAGGCATGTGCTACATGCCCAGCTGTTTTATAAGACACATTATTTCCTGATCATGGAAGTAATGTAGGTTTATCATGGAAACTTTGTTAAATATAGAGAAACAGAGGAAAAGCAACTTTTCAGAGCATCACACTGTTCGAATTTCAGGAAGATAAATCCTTTAAAAAGTTTTATACATAAATGTTTAATAATTGATAGACATTATTCTTTAAACAGTGCTCAGTCATATCCTTTTCCCTTCAGTAGTATATTACATATGTCACATGTAATTAAATGTCCTTTTATTTATTTTTAAAATTTTAATTATTTAGCAGTACTGGGGATTGAACTCAGAGCACTGGGTGTAGTAGGCAAGCCCTCTACCACTAAGCCACATCCTCAGTGCCTTATCCTCTTAAAACATGATTTTCTGAGGAATTAGCTTTTTGTTTTCAAATTTTAGACTTTACATTTCAGAGCAGATTCAGATTCGTAGCAAAACCAAGAGGTGCAGAGATTTCACTGCAGCCCCCCATCCCCATCTGTCACAGCTGAGGGGCCTCACCCACAGAAACCTCCTGGTTACCCAAGTGTCCAGCGGCCCCAGGATGGCTACCTCTCAGGTGCCAGCTTTTTAAAAGCCATTTTTTCTCCCTGTGCTGTAGAAAGGCAAAGGCATCCTGAAGCTGCAGGAAATCAGATTTCCGGCCATCAAGTTAGTGTACACTCTGACCGTCCCTGATGCCACAGTGAAAGACAGTGGGGATTATGAGTGTATTGCTCGGCATGCCACTGAAGATGTCAAAGAAATGAAGAGAGCCACCATTTCCGTGCATGGTACGTTCTGCTTTCTTGAGTTATCAGTTCTTCCACACTGCTCGGCATCTGGAGGAGGTGCTCACTGTGTCACGTGACTCTTCCCTGTGCAGAGAAAGGCTTTGTTGAGATCAAACCCACTTTTGGCCACGAAGAAGCTGTCAACCTGCATGAAGTCAGGCATTTTGTGGTGGACATACAGGCCTATCCCCCTCCCAGGATATCCTGGCTGAAGGACAACGTGACTCTGATTGAAAATCTCACTGAGATCACCACTGATGTGGAAAAGATTCGGGAAATAAGGTAGAGAACACTAAGTATTTCTTTTCCTTCTTCCTCTTCCTCTCCTTCCTTACCTCCTCCTATTTTTTCTTTTTTGAGACAGGATCTCATTATGTAGTCCAGGCCAGCCTTGAACTTGTTACAGAGCCCAAGCTGGCCTTGAACTAGCAATCCTCTTGCCTCAGCCTCCTGGGTGCTGGGATTACAAGAGTATGCTACTGTGCCTGGTCCATGTGTGTCTTCTTTGCATGTGTGTCCCTAGAAAAATGGAGGGCAGTGTCTGTCTTTCAACCCAAACCAAAAGTCTGCCTAGAAAATGTAGTAAGCTGAGTTGAGATATGCTTGAAAATCAAGTACCTCTAACTGTAACATTACGGTGTGATGATGGGATGCTGGTAAATGTTTAACATTAAGATAAAAATAAACATCCCTGTCCCCCAGTGAAAGACAGCTTTCTGGATCCAACTAGGGGTGGAGGAAAGATGATGAAATTGGACTCAATTGGATTGAATATTTGAAGTTAGACATTTCCGGTGATTCCACTTGTGAGAGTGTTGTAGCCAAGTTGCGAAATCCCCAAGAAGACCACCAAGGAGTCGAATCCGATGTAATTACATGAGGAGTTTATTACAAGCTCGAGTCTGGACCCTCGTACTTTACCGAACCAGCGGATCAGAAATGAGTGTGTTGACTCACTTTCAAGACATGCTTATATAGGGCTGAGGATTGATACTATTTTTAACTTTTCATTACTAAGGATTATTACTGGGACACTTGGGGTACCCGTGAGGGGAATTATCTCATACCCATGAGGGGATACCCATGAGGAGCTCAGCGGGGGGCACTCTATTTCTATTCTTTTTTTTTTTTTTTT